AAACCACAACGCATATTCCCCGCGAGCTCTTCCGAGGCTGCTCGATCAACCCTCATCGAATCCTCTAGCCCAGCCCTTCGCGGCAGCCCCTTAAATTAACGATATTTCGCGTCATCGGGAAGACATTTCACCGTCAACGATCCGTTAAGACAGTTCACCGGTAATCATCACCTCCCACCCCAGCTTGGCCACGGGGAAGATTTCATAGGGAATCGCGGCGCGTACATTCGATGCCGCGCGTTTCAGGGGTGAATCGACGAGGCCGGCGGCGGGGGGCGAGGGTGGAAACAAAAAACGCGCGAGCGGGGTTCGTTGCATCGTGACGAGGGCCCCGGGAACCGGATTCAAGGGGTGATTATAAATCCTCGAGGATGACGCTGGGGTGGGCCGACACCGATAGTCGAACGTCAAAGGCAATCGGGGGCTGAAATTTTCATTCCGTCGGCCATCGACGAGAGACAGAACCTCGCTCGATGAGCAACCTACGCGTTCTCCCATAATTATGGAGAAATTATACGGGACCTTTGACTACGCTTCTTTCCATTTTTCTCCTTTTTTCCTAAAGCTCGTGGGCGCGCGAGTACCCTTCGGTTTAAGGAGAAGTGGTGGGTCTCCTGGATCAGCTGGATCGCTGAAGATCTGCTTAATAATCCTTGTTATGGATTAGAGAAAAGTATTCGAGGTTTAGTATTTAAATCCTGAGGTACTGAGACGTGTTCATTGAATTGAACGATGATCCATCCTTTGTTTAGGATTTACCGGAAGGTTTTCTAGTTTCGCTACGAACGTACAGTTAATCTGAACACTGAATATTGATGACGAAAGAGTGTTATTGTATCGGCGGATCGAGTTCGGAATCGTTTCTGTAAGATTTGATAATATTAATGAAAGCAAGGTGGTTAATAATTTGCGCGTGGCGAGCCAAAATAAAGAAGAGTTAAGCGACATCGACAAATGAATAATATTTGCCGATAGTAAATCTGAATATGATGAACTTTAGTGATTTCGTGGCAGCGAGCAATCGTTTCATTGCCGGCGATCAGATCTTTAATTAACGACAGTGAAACAAAATTAACGATATATTTAATACTGTTACGGGGTATTGTAACGAGAGCTACAGCGAACGGGTATAATGAAATTATTGTTGTTCCGGAAACAGCGCAACATGGGAGATATCGCAAGGTTTTCCCGGTGTTTGGCCACCGATTGTTATTTACGCGGTGAAATCCGAGCCGGTTTATCGATGTTGTTATATAAACGTCGACAAGGGGGGAGTGGTCGTGACAATTAATAAACCACGGGCCCCGTTAAAATCTGTTCGCGGACTGATTGATTCTTCGCGCACCTCGATTACGATCGTTCCAGCGTCGCCCGATGATAAATGACGCGGCGACGTGCCGTGGCCGACGGCTTTCACCCTTTTTCCTTCCTACTCGTGGAAACATTTCTTTTTAACTGGCACGACGAATCGACTCGCCACACTCGAGCGGCGTGGCGTCCCGTGACCGGACTCGCATTCTTAAAAACTTAACGAAATAATGTTTCATCAACGGTAGGGACGAAACGTCCCGGCTAGCTGATGGCTTCAATTTAATTTTCTGAAACGATTACACTGGTTTTTCAATTCCCTCCGCAATCTCCTTCAATCATCTTTTCTACAGTGTTCAAGTAATCTATGTTTTATAATGGGAGCTCAATGTTCTATTTTTAAACATTGATTCTTCTTTGTTCCCTTCGGTGTCATTATATTCTCAGTCTTCGAAACTCCAAATAATCAGATCTCCAATTCAATTAAAACATCTGATCTCACCAATCGCGTCGATTAAAATCCTACCACGCGATCACAGATCCCACATTTCGATGAACGATTCAGCGGAACGAAGATCGTCGACGGAATTACCATCCCTAACAAGGAATCTAAATTCTCCTAGACCCGAGCGAAATAAAAAATCTATTAACGAGCATCAAAGGATCGCGCGGAGTTAATAAAAAAAAGGAAAAAGAAGGCGGAGTGGAAAGGAGGGAGAAGATACGAGGCCTCGGACGCCGGAAGTAAGCCCCCACCGTCACAAATGCACCCTTTATACGCCGGTTACGGGCTATAGCGGCGATATAAAATTCAAAGCCACCAAGTGGCACCCTCCACGCTAACGACAGCGCCGCCCCTGAGCATCAGTATGCTAATCCGATGATTGGCTATGTTCCAACCCCCCCTTCGCCCGTTCCCCGCTGCCCCCACCATTTTCCTTGTTCCTTCATGAGCTGCCCCTCTTCCGTCCTTCTCTCTCACTCACTCTGTCCCACGGCTCCATCTCCCGTTTCTCTGCGGCTTCCTGATGGGATCCGGCCACCCTTAACCGAAACCATAAGCCAAAACTAACCCTTATTCTAATTAGGCGGCGCCACGACGCGCCCCCCTGCTTTGCATATTTTCTCGATTAAACTCGCCCTTTCTTTATCCGGCCGGGGGCATGGGGCGTCGCTTCAATTTCCGCGGAATTTTCTCGGGCGCCCCGTTTTCTCGGCCCATTTATCCGATCCACCGGCTCGCCCACATTGCGTCGAATTCGCTGCCCCGGTAAATTCCGCGGCGATCCGCTGCGCCGCAGCACGACACGGAGAACCGACGTTATTCTTCCGCGGGGGCTGGGTTCCGGAAACTTAACTGTCGCGGTACAGCGCGGCGTTCCATTAAATTCACGAGGCGATCGCTGTTTCTTCTATTTTATCGCGTTTGCGCAGGGTCACGCGATCCTCTCTTGAAACGCGAGATAGTATTTATCTAAGGGCGGGTTTTGTTGCGAAGAATAACGCGGAGAATACTTCTATCCTAGAATACTTGATATTTATAGGGTCAAATTTCTTCATTCCTTTGATCTTCTTCTCAGATTCGTTTCATCTGCTTTTAAAAGATTCTAGGTTACACCGCGAAAAATATTTGATTGATCGTTGGAATTACGGGATCCGTCGATTTCACCCTCGATTGCAACCCTTTCGGCTCCCAGGTGTCCCGGCATGGTCGGTCACCGCACCTGAATGATCCTCTAATGGGTCGCTTGCGGGTAGACAAATTGGCGGAGCTTACACGGGCTTTCACTTCGAAAGGCTGTAAGTGCGTGTAACGAGGATTAGCGACGTTAACGAGGGCGGCACGAGACCTATGCATAGCAACTTAACCTCGTCAGAATCCACTCGAGCCTCTGTCGCTGCCCCCCTCCCTTCCATCCATCCATCCTGCCGCCACCTCTCCCCCTTCGGCGACCAATGAAATTGAAATGGGTCTAGCCCGGATCCCGGCGGCGAACCCTCACTGACATAAGCTCATAAACCCACGATATTGAATACAAATGGACGATACCGGCGCGGCCGCTGCGCTCGGGGTGCAAATGAGCCCCATGAAACCGACCCCCGATCCTGGGGGCTGACCCCGAGGTCGATGCGCCGACCTTAATAGCACGGGATCGAGGGGAGAAAGCCCGAAATCCGCCCCGATCAATTAGATCTACCTCGAAGACACGATCGTGAATTGGTTTTACTATGATAACGGCTGCTCTTTAAAGGGGTGGCTTTCTCTTTGGTCCTGGGAGCTTCGAATAAATCGTATTCTAGCTGTGGGAAGTGGATATTTCGTCAGTGTTTTGAATTTGCTTTGATATTTAGTACTGAATTTAAGGAAATTCAGAGACAGTTCATTTATTCGTTGTTCTTCTGGTGAATGTTTTTTTTAGAGACGGAAAAGTTGCCATAAAAACTGGCGGCGAGTTGTTTGCGAGTTCGTCAGAGGGTCTCTTTTTTGTACGAGCTTCCTTTATGGCACGTTCTCTTATTGATTTTTCGTACACGACGAAAATTTTGAAAGCGATACTTACTTTTTCTCACGCTTGCCCGCCCCCGTGTCCCGGAACCCTTTCGCGAACGGGTTGTTGTCGATTTTCAGCTGAGTGATCTGCAACAGAAAGTCCGATGAGTACGATTAAGTGCACCGAATTGTAACCACTCCAGACCCGCCCCGGTTCGCTTTCGGATTTGTGTGGTCAATGCTGTACATTGGAACGTGTATTACAGCATGAGTAAGTTGCGTCTCACGATTGGATTGTGGATGGTTGTGCAAAATGTAGGACAAAAATTCGTTTGGCTTATTAAAGACATTGAATTCCAGATAAAGAAAGAACTCCGTTACATTGATACATTTTGCAGTAGAACCAGTTATGGATGATCAAGTTTGTAGCAAACGCATGAAGTCCACATTCCACTCGTATCGGATGAAAAATAAAGTGAAAGAAATGTGAAATGTATCGGAGGGTCAAATAATTTGTGATCGGCAATTTTGAATCGAGCAAAGGTTCCACGGAGAGAATGCAACGCGGCGAATTTCGGGAAACGGAGAAAGCGTTTGCCGCCCGAAGAAGATCCACAGAAACGATATCCTTCTTCCGGTCATACCGGGAAGAAAGATAACAAGGGGGGACCGCACGACGAAAAATCCAGACAAGGGGCCCCTTTGGCGCGCGCGCAACATCAAAAATAATGCGTACTGGGAACCACGCTGGTTCCTCGAACACTTTCGGCCCATCAACCATCGGGGAGGGGATTTTAATTAACGCGGTTCAGAAGTAAAAAGAAATCTTTCCGGGTCCTCGTTTCATCGTCAATTGTGGCTTTCCTTTTATCCTCTTTAAATTTTCTATTACCCGCTAATGTTCACTTTCAAAATGATTTTGATAATAAGGTGAGAATGATTTCTAGAAGCCAGTGTTTGTTCAATGATTTTATAGCAGATCCACGATCCCGCGAGTTTTCATAGAGTGTTCGCGACGTAAAATGACCCTTTTACGCAATAAGCGCGTTAATTATAACGTTCCCTTTAATTAATTCAGTTAATCTGAGAGGACGCCACGTTCCCGACTAAACTTCGATAATTAATGTGTTAGTAATGGCCCGACGATAACTTTTTGGTGAAAGAACAGACAACGTTGTTGCGCTCCACACCTCTCTACGCAAATAACGGAGCTAAATATTAATTAACGGCGGTATACTCATAATTAGATGGGGTACTATTTAACATGCTACATTTTAATACGCGGCGAACGTGAGAGCGCTAACGAGAAGCTATTACTCACGTCGTGAAACTTGTCGGATGAAAAAGTTAGTTGCCCTTGGTAATTTTTCTTCTCATTCAAGAAAAGATAACTATTTGTTAATCGCTAATATATGCCCGTTCTTTATCTCTTAACACCTCTGTGAGTTAACGTTCCTGAGAGAATGCACAAACACAAAGGAAGATATTCTATTGTCAGGAGATGAGTGCATAAGATCGGAGTTTCGAATGTTCTTTGTCTTTCCGTGTTTTTAACAATCGTGTAAAATGACTCTAAAATCGTGTAAAGTGTCTCTAAAATCGTGTAAATGATTCTTCACAGTAAACGTATAATGATCAGTTAATAACATAATCAAATCAGTAAAATATAACTTACCATTTGAAATAAATTAATAATTATCAATTCATCTCGTTACAAAATTACCATTTTCACTTGATATTAGGCTAGAAGTGACAAAAAGGCATTGTACTTAGCATCCTGTACGATTAATTATCCTAGAGAGTAGCGTAACCTTTGAACCGGAAGTAGAATGTAATAATTCACTTACCTTTTCGTTCTGATAGGCAGTCACCGCGATGAATTCCGTTTCTTTGAAAACGTAACTCCTGAACGTCGAGTAGGCTAGCTGCGAGATATGGTTGGCCCTCGCCAGGTGAAACCTCGGCTGGTACTTGTGCATCGAGTTCAATATCGTCTGGAACAATCAGGCGAGCATATATTGGGACAGACTGTTCCGGGGACAGAGCTCATGCTCGCAATCTTTTTTCTTTTAGAACCGCGCCATTTCTAGGGGAAATCGACCGGCAGCTCGGTACGCAGTCTTACCGATTCCCGTGGGATTCCGCAACGCGACCATATTCGCAGAACTGCAGGAGACCCGTTCCAAAATATATTGTAGCAATTTCGAATATATTATTTTATAATTAGAGCGAAAATGAATAAGAAACTCATAGTCCTTTAAGATTTTAATGTTGGCAACAGTGCATGTGAAGTATTCAGCAATTTTCTTAAACAATTTTTGGGTAATTTCTGTAGGTAAAGAAGACGACGCAGAGTAGCCAATATTGCAGAATAAAGTGTCTAGTTTCTGCCTGTGTATGATATGCATTATAAATCCGCGATAATAAGCTGCTGTTTATTAATAAGTCGAAAGAAAGAGAAGCAAGCCAGAAGAATCGTGAATTTCGGCCAAAGTTCATCATGCTGGTGACATTCCATGAGTACAGTTAGAAAAGGTGATATAGCAAAATGGCACAACCGTCGTTCAAGATGTGATTACACGCTCGAAAGTTTGTCTTTCAGTTCAATCTCGCACTAGACGATGACGATTGAGGTTCTCTTGAGGATCTTTCTTAAGTTACATTAGTTAAAATCGTGAAACGGTATTGTTTTCGTCGAAAAAAAACTTAAACACGGAGATGCAAAGCCTAAACGAGCAGAAGATTCGCGAAGCGTTTTTCTGGGAAACGTCCACACGTGAGCGCAATCTGAATTCTTTTTTCAACGAGGAAGGTTTTTGGCGCAATTCGAAGCGAATAAAACGATCGATCCGCTTTTAGTCGTCTCGGACCAGGCGCAACGCGCGCGATGCAAATGCATCGATGCAGTAGCAGCTAACAAGATTGCAGAGGACATTCCATTGCGGAATGGACGCACCACTGCCGGCCACTCGATAAATCTACGCTCATCCGGCGAATCACTGTAATTACGTGGCGGAATTTTCGTAATACGCCAGTCAAAATCATCGTTTCATCGGTGATCGGTTGCGTAGCAATCTCTTCGTTGACATTCTTGATGCACTGGGTGGCGACTCCGTCACTCAACGGGGATGCCACCCGGCTTGCACGACCCTGACTTTCATGTATATTCGCGAATTCAGCGTATACATTCTTGTCACTATTCGCAAAATGATAAATTTGTATACTCGATAATTTCGGACGCGATGAGATTCAAAGTTGTCTATTTAGTTGGTGGAATAGATAGATGATATTCGATTGGATTATTAATACAACAGTGTAGAGATTGCGTATATAGAGAACTAACAAAAAATTCTCTCCTACAAACTCAAGACCTACTAAATGCAATCGATTAAATCAAATTGTATAGTTTATTATGGATTCTACAGTAATCCAAAGAAAACAGAAGCCTCCAAGAACCTACATCATCTTTTTACGTGGAAACTGAGACACAGTGTGCAATTGTCGAAAAATAACTCATCATTCTTGGCAAACAGCTTGCTCGGGCCAGACTAAACATGTCAGAAGACACGACCACAGTGTTGAAATATGTATTCCGCCACTGTCCCCGTTCGCCATGTTGGAGAGACGCGCGTTTGTCCCGGTCGAACAACCTCCGATTAGGCTCCGGAGAAATACTAATTGCTCCGATCGGCGTTCGCACATATTTTCCACGGCGCCGGAGGCGTGTCGAGGCTGAAGGTCCAGAAGACAGAAGATAGGATCCCAGAGGAGAGAGGAGAGAGGAGAGAGAAGAGAGAAGAGAAAAGAGAGAAGGAGAGAAAAGAGAAGAGAGAAGGAGAGAAGAGAGAAGAGAG